GATTGGAATGTCGAACTGAACCCTTTATTTCACTCACTGGGGTAGACTGTTCTAGTTCCACATGCCATGTCTAATGGATGTCAGTTATCTCCTGTTAATTCCCCTTTCCAAGTTCTCCACCGCCTTAACCAGATATTGAACTCACACCCTTTGGGGGTCCTGTCATTGGATCTAACTAACGCCTTTATCCACTGTGCCATTCGTCCTTGACTTTTCTGTCTTTGTTGGTTTCAATAATTTTTAATCTTGGTTTCGTGAGATGAACATTTCAGACGATTCACCACATCTGTCTGCTCTCATATGGTGAGTGATGCTTATACGAGAGAGGTTATGCTTTTTCACGTCGACTCGAGGAGAAGGTGTGGCATAACACTTTGCTATACTCATTCACATGTCCATTTGTACAAACTTCTCAACTAATAAGTCACTCACTGCTTTTGCTTGATTCTTGTTCCGCTGACATGGCCTGCCAGTGCTAAAATCTGACAGCCCCTTTTCTTCATCACGAGTCCACCAAATTTCAATTGCCTCTTTCTGATTCTTACTAACAGTTTAGTTTTTAGATAAAAGAAAAAATAAATACATTCGCTTATCGTCCGGTCCAAACTCCTCTGTGTCCTTTTAAACAGGAGCGGATGTTTCTCTCTTGTGCCTTGTTTAACACCAATTCTTCTAAAGTCTACTTCAATTCTATACGTCTGACGTCACTGTGTGAACTGTGAAATGTTATTTACTCATTATTTATTTCCTCTCTCTCTCTTTCTCTCTCTCTCTCTCTCTATCTCTCTCTCTCTTTTCTTTTCCTCAATAGGAGTAGGTAGGTTGGCCTATTGCCCGGTTAACACTCCTTCACAGTCTTTTGAAATGGAGTAGAAGTTCATCCTTTGTTCCCTGTTTAGGACTGGGTTTCCAGCTCCTTCTAAAGTCTTTTTATTCTCTTTCACTCCCAGTATCACTTTGCGTGTTAGTTATCGCCCTGCTTCAGATGAATTGATTAAAAAAACAACAAAAAAAAAAAAACAAAAAGAAAAAAAAGGAAAAAAAAGTCACCGAGGAAAATGTAAGGGGAAGCAACTCTTCCAACAATAATCGAAACCATTGCTCTTTACAATCAGTATTGATACAAATATTGTTTAATGCTCCTTTTAATATTTTTTTTTTATTAACAGTATTAGTCCTGGGTGTGACGATAAATTGGGAGACTGGAGATTGTGAGGAACGTGGAACAACTTCTTAATTGTTATTATTCCCAGGTCCACCTTGACTGTGGTGGTAGTACCTGTTAGGGTCCCAGGTATGGGTAAATATTGAACAACCAAACAAAAATCAAAACACTAGGAAAGTATAAAAATACATTTTGATTAAAAAATTTTCCAACAATATATTTTTGTAGTCAATTTGACATGCATGCATTTTTATAGCAAAATTTACAAAATGCCATATATTGTCAAAAAATAACAAAAATACAATTTGCTAAGATTAATTTCATTTCTTGTAAGGCGAAATAGGTTTTCACTATTGGTTTGATTTTGATAAGCTTTTGATCTAAAAAAAGTAGCTAAGTAATCTATTTTAAATTTTTAAAAATGTCTCTGCGTTTTTAGCTGTGAAATGGTATCTGTTCATTTTTAGATTGAATGAAATATCATTCTCTTGAA